TAGTCACGACAGATGGTTTTGCTGCCTTTCTTCAGTTTAATTGGGTATTCTTTTCTGAAGCGGCCATTAATAGTAGTTACTAAAACTTTAATTTTCTGTTTTTCATTTTTGTGAAATTTTTTTCATTTTGAGAAGAAGGATATCACTGTTTAAGGGACCCAGTTCAGTTTTTTGCCACTATTGACAAGAGTTTCATATTTACATATTAATGAAAATGACGCTCGTGTAACTGCAGCCACCATCAATATGATGGCCTTTCCGCATTCCTTATATTATGTACAGTTCGTCTTCTTGCAGTTTCAAGTAGTGAAAATGATGTGGACGTTGCTGCATAAGAATATCATATTATGTAGAGATTACGCTAATGACGTATAAAAGTGAATATAAAATTAAAAATATTTTTTGTGTATCTATGTAGTAATAAACGGTTTGTATTCAGGATTATCTGACAATTGGTAAGGTTCTTTTCAGTTTTTGCATTTATATCTGTTTATAATAAACAAATTTTTCCACTAAGTTTGCATGCGAAAAAATTTGAAAAGAACTGAAAGCCTTGTTTGTTGCAGTCTTAGTCAAGCTCATTTCCGAGAGTAATAAAAGGCTTCTCGAAAAAAGAAACTAGTTTTTTTAACGATTTTACAAAGCGAGCTTTCTTATGCGTAAAATATCCATCAGACGAGTAAACCGATTCTCTTTCTGTACGATTTTTTGTCTTAATCCTTTAGAATTACGTGATAGGGGAAGTAAACTTAGCAAAACACTGTTGACTGCGAGCGAGAAATGAAGAGCTCTTGTCATATAGCACTACTGTAATGAGATGTAGAAATCTCTTTCTTGAACACCTGAGTTAGAATTTCTAAAGAATTTGTAAATTAGTTTGTAAATGTAGAATTATCAGTTATCAGTGATATAACATAGCTTCTGGTTTTAAAATATCAAGTGTTTGTAAGCCGGCAGCTTATGCTGGAGAAACCGAAGTATATGGCATCTACAAAGGCGAAAAAATTTACAGTCTATGTTGGGGGAAAATAACTTGGCAAATTCAGAAGAGTAACGGCAACAACTGAAAATTGTTCCAGCAACACATTGTTATCATCACACTTCGGGCAAAAATCAAATTCTCATTTTCGCTGACTGGTTACAATGGTCAAAAATCTTTGCAAGTCGTAAAAATTTGGCTGTCGACATCTCTCTGTGGTTCATTTTTTACCAGAGAAAATAAAAAATATGGAATGTTCACGTCGATAAAATAATAGTCCTCAAAGAGACACGAATGTAAGGAATAAGAAGACAGAACTGCAAACTGAGATAGGCTAAATTTTAAATTACAGAGAGAATTCTAAAGAAAAGAACTTCACGATAAAACACAATTCAGGTCATACTTTGTTGGAAGCAAAACTGGTAGGACAATCTGTCTTCTTCGATCAATAATTATATACTTCTCAGTTCTTTTTACAGTTGTACG